CAGGTTGAAGAGCAAAAAGTCAGGATACTTCAAAACCACATCCAGAGGGAAAATGGAAACAGATAGCTTTGCAGCCAGTCAGTCAATGCATCAAAGTGGAGGGCCTAGCGGGGACAGTGGCAGAATCATCCAGGGACAAGGAAACAGCTAGGAGAGACAAAAGACAAGAAACTGAGTATTTGGAGTTAAAGATACCTGTTCAAACATTAATCCTTGAGTTGTGGCCACACAGACTTGATTTGGGGATAAGCTTTAATGGTTTCTAAGCCATCTCCGATCTTAATTCCATTTCTTTTGCAAAAGGCACTAATGATGAAGAGCTAGTAAATCAGTGAATTATTTTATTGTCACAGGCTAGCAAATGGATGTTACTATTTTAAAATTTCTAACTGATGAGATGTAAATCGGTATCTAAAGGCTGTTGAAATTGGTATCATGAATCCTCAAAATATAGCAGTATCTGGCACACTTATTTAATAAATGATTATTAGGGAAAGAAATATATTCCTTTGATTGCATACTATTTACATTTCCTCATGTAATTATCTGTTGAGATGCTTTCCCCCTTATTTTCGAGAAAAACAATTTAAAGACAATGAACTTCAACAAATGGAGACTTTTTTTTTAAAGATTTATTTATTTATGCACACAAGAATGGGGGTGTAGGCTAGAGGTGTGGGGAGTGAGAGGATTCACCAGAAACAGATTGGGGAGCAGAACAGGCAGTTCTACTGAAATGCATTGCTGAGGGGAGCAGCAGGTGAGGCAGGAGGGGTATGCTGCTCCATGTGGGTAGCTCCCTGGCTTGGGATCGAATTCCTGCTGCAGTGGCTGCAGATAGCTTCATAGTGCTGAGGCTTAACCCCTGTGCCAACGGGGAGGCCCCAGGAGTCTATGTCTTAAAACAGAGTCAAGCAGCCTTGACCCTTGCTGTGATTCAGATTCATAAGGGATTCCCCAGAATATTAAATATATTATTAATTTTTTCCCCCAGAATACTAAATTTAGCTACTCTTGTGGAAAAAATGGTTTTGTCTCATAGGGTCACCAGGAAATGAGTTTATTGGGAGGAGTAAGGAATTGCAAACAGAGATGATACAAACTTGCCTCACTCCTTTCATGTCTACCTCTAGGTCCTCATGGCCACATCCACATCACTGATGTGGATGAATGTCTCCTGCAATGCCTCCTACTTCTGGACAAACCTACTTCTTGAATTATAGGATCAAAGGGAGGCTCTTCACCTGGAGTCTCTGGGCCTCTCAGAGGATCATGGATAGGATTCAAGTGTGCATGGCAAAACAAAACTAAGCTTCTAGTAGTATCTGTGTTCTGCTACATGGAAATATTATTTTCATGTACTATTTTAGCTGTTGTAGCATTTCTGAAATACCATTTACATGTAACATTGCTTAAAAATTATAGTAGCTCTTATAGATTTTAATGTTCACAAAAAAAGCACATCTTTATGCAAATTATCCTTGACATTTAAATAACTTACTTTGATATACAGGGATTCCCTGCAATCCTAGGGTTTTATTCTATGCATTTAAAAACATTTTTCTAACAAGAGACCCTTAGGTTAGCCAAGGCTTAAAGCCACTGATTTTGGGAAGCAGCTGGTATTCCATGCTTACTCTTCAGCTAGAGCTTTAATACGTCTCAGTTCTACGCTTATTGATGTCTAAATATACCCAGCCTTCTTTTGCCTTTGTGCCTTCTAAATTTTGGTTCCTTTCTTAGAATATTTTGTCCCAATGTTAACCTGGAAAATTCCAACTCCTGCATCTCCTCCTGTGATAACTTACCAACCTGTTCAAGTGGCAGCCTAATCACAGCACAGTGTCACATTTCCTAGCTCCTTGAAGGGACACTGGGTCTTTATCATCTTTTTCATGATCTATTGAACTTTTCTTTCAGTGTGGTATGTAGCATTCTTTTAGATAGTAAATAGATGACCATTTTTAATATTAATGTGCACATATTAAAAAAGGGACAGTGCTTTTTTTCATTTATAGCATTTGAAATTGTTTTCCAAATGATTTTTTTTTTTTTTTTTCGGGACCCTCGCCGCTGGCGGGGGAACGAACGGGCGCTGCAGAGGCTGCAGGCAGCCTGGCACCTCAGCGCTCAACCGCTGTGCCACCAGGGAAGGCCCTCCAAATAAATTTTAAGCCTTTGAAAAAATTAACTGAGTTAAAATGATTATGTAACTGTCAGTACATATTGATACAGATAGTTTGATAGTAGCAGAAAATTGTCTCAAGTTTAAAAACTGGAAGCAATGGGCTGGCTGAAGTCTTGCCTTTGCCTGCTTAGGCTACGACCCTTGCATGTGAGAACCTGGGGTGAATTCCACAATGACTCTTAGATCCCTCTGCTATTATCACTAGAATTCACTTGGGTCTATTTGGGTAATTTGAAGTAGGTCTGGGACATCTGGAAAGATGAGCCAACTGTATGAAAATTGTGTTAGTTTTTCAAAGTAAATATTATTAAAAAATGAAAGTCAAAGAATGAAAGCAAATATGGATAATGTACTGTCTTTTCATCAATAAAAGAAAATATAAATGGAGATTTTCCAAGAAGTTATAAATTATTAAAAAAAAACATGAAGGAAGGCATTATTAAAAAGCCTGAATAAAATGATTATTTGAAAAATGCCACAATCAAAACACTTTGCTTAAAAAGTTATCAGGTCAATTTTCCTGGAGTTCTATCAAGGGTTCAATGAGCAGATATTATAACTGTTATTTAGGACAAAGAAAAAAATGGAACACTTTCTAAGTATTTTGCCAGTACAGTCTAACAGGTACCAAAACTAGGCAAGTTACACAAAGTTACCAAGTGAAATCCAACAGTGATTTGAGATAATACATTATTATACAACAGGATTTAATAAGAATGTATATAATGTTGATTAATTTGAAATTCTGGGAGTAATTTAGTACTTAATTAAATAAGAACAAAAAACTCCAGGGAAGAAAAGTAATGTTTTTAATTTTAATGTAAGCTATAACATTTCATAGAAATGCTTCTAATTTTTCATTATAAAATAAAAAGAACAAGTGCCATTATCATGACATTCTTGGCAGGTCTAACCAATCAATAGGAAAAGAATAAAGATTAAGAGGCAATATATATATTTTTTATATCATTGCTCATTTTTAAACAATATTTGCTTCTCCCCTCTCCCCGCCCCACCCCACTCAGGTATAGTCCCCATAGAATTTCCTTCACCAATGCACCCACGCACCATCACCAGTGCTCTTCCTGCCCTCCCTCTGATCCCTCTCCTACTCTCCCCTGAAGGATGTCTCTGATTTATAATTGTCTGTTTTTGTTTTGCTGAGTTTTATATTGTTATTATTTTTTTACCCTGATGTCTTATTTGGTTCCCCTATATTCCTCCTATAAGTGAAACCATCCAATATTTTTCTTTTTCTTTCTGACTTATTTCACTGAGCATAATTCCTTCTAGCTCCATCCATGTTGCTGCGAATGGCATGAGTTTATCTTTTGATTGCTGAATAGTATTCCATTGTGTATATGTACATCTTCATGATCTAGTCCTCTATTTTTGGGCATTTGGGTTGTTTCCAGGTTTTACCTATTATAAACAGAGCTGCAATAAACATAGGGGTACGGGTATTTTTTTTAATCAATGTTTTTGTGTCCTTTGTGTAGATCCCTAGGAGTGGAATTGCTGGGTCATATGGTACCTCCATTTTTATTAGTTTGAGGAACCTCCACACTGCTTTCCATAGTGGTTGGACTAGTTTGCACTCCCACCAGCAGTGTAGGAGAGTTCCTTTTTCACCACATCCTCCCCAACATTTGTTGCTGCTAGTTTTTTTTGATATGTGCCATTCTTACTGGTGTAAGGTGGTATCTCATTGTGGTTTTAATTTGCATTTCCCTGATTATAAAGGATGTTGAACATTTTTTCATGTAAGAGGTATATATATTGGCAAAGGGAAAAGCTGCTGTGTGGACATCATGATTCTATTATTTAGAACATGAAGCTGAAAAAATTCAAAAGCTATTCGAAAAACTATTAAAGAAACTACTAGAGTTCAACAAGGTGACTGGATACAAGACAAACAAAAAAGCACTGTTATATATAAATATTAGAAAATTTAACAAAAGATCTCATTCAACATCAAACAAAAAGTGTGAATACCAAGCAATAAACAGCAAAAAAAATGCAATATTAGTATCACTAAGATGAAGTTTCACTAAAAGATATAAAAGGTCAGAATAATGGGGGGACATACCAAGTCTTTGGATAGACTCAATGTTGTAAAGATACCATTCTCCTTAAATGGCAAATTTAAAATCCCAAGACAATTTTTAAAATACAATTTGATAAATTCAAGCTCATCTAAAAAAAAAAAAGCTCAGCAAGGGCCAAGAAATTTCTGAGAGACTATAATGGGGGTATTTGCAACTATCAATTCATATAGTGAAAACTACAATAATTAAAAACATAGGGCACAGGAATGGACAAGTAATCAATGGAACAAAAAAAATGCCAGAACCAGAATTATTTATACATACACAAAGATTAGATTTCAAATTAACAGAGAAAAGCAATTTTTTTAAAGATTAATGTTCTTCTGACGTTATTTATTTATTTATACAAGCACTGGGTACAGTCAGAAGCACGGGAGGGTGAGAGAATTCACCAGAGCCAGAGCGGGGAACAGAACAGGCAGACTGACGAAATACACTGCTGAGGGGAGCAGAGGGCATGGCAGGAGAGGTCTGCATGTCATGAGGGACCCTCGCTGGCAGCCAGGGATCGAACTGGTGCTGCAGAGCTGCGGGCAGTTTCGCAGCCCAGCGCTCAACCACTGAGCCACCAGGGAGGCCCGAAAAGCAATTTTTTTAAAAATAAGAAATGATATAGCAATTGGTTAGTCATTTAGTGAAAAAATTAGATACTTAACATACACATTTGAGTAATAACTATATGAAAAATTGCTCATACGTCATTAGTAAACATGACATGAAATTAAAAATAATTTTGTTGAACAGACTAGTAAAATATGCAGTTTTTGAAGGTAAGAATATATAGTTGGGGGGAGTCAACTTGACATGATATGCCCCCCCCTAAAAAAAACATGACTTTTGACTTAAAAATTTCACTTCTTGGAATCTACCCTACTTAGAAATACACTGCAGTACTAATTGCAAAAATTGGGAACAATTTAGATGCTCATTGTTAGGCAATGGCTAAAGAAACTTGTGTATTTGTATGGTGCAACCGTTAAAATGATAGTGTAGCAGATTTGTATGTAGTGATATGGTAAATTTGTAAGACATATTGAAGTAAAAACATAATCAAATGTCAAAATATAAATCTATCCCACCCTACTGTTTGCTTTTTATTGCTCAGGGAAATGCCTTGAACGAACATACCAAAATGTAAACAGTGGTTGTCCCTGGGAAGGGGACAGGAAACATGGGAGATGGAGATGGAGAGAAAGGGCTTAAGGAAGGGGATGAGGGTAAAGGTGAGCTGTGACTTTTTTAGTTGCTCAATTTATATTTAAATTTTAAAAGAATATGCACATTTTAATTAAGAAGGTCTTTAAAAAGTTTTTCCACTTAAGAAGAAAAAAAATGTTTCACTACTACAAGAGCTGCTAGCTTCATTTCTGTTTTATTCTAAGTAGTTTCAGGGCCTTTTTTAAATCCATTTTACATACTTTGATTTTCCTAAGATTTTTATGTTAACACAAGAGTAGCATAAAAGAATAGAACATTTCTAAAGTTGTTTTTGAGCACTAACAACCTATAAATGAGTCCATAAATCAATTGTGTCATGTGTGACTAACAGGCAGGAATATTTTAACCTTAGGTTTCCCATTCTACTTGTGTAAGGTTCAGGAAGACAAAAAAGTTTGTATATTAACAATATATAAATATGACAATGTACTGTGGGAAAAAAGTATGCATAAAATGTTAAATAACAAAAACTAAAAAGTAATCAATTCCTCTTAACATTCTACCTCGTACCCTCCAGTAGCTAAGTAACGTCATACTAGTTCTAAGGGGCAAACAAGACTGTCAGGACCAATGCGACCATTATTTTAAAAAATGTTGACAAATATTGTTATGGTACATGAGGAAAGAAGTATAAAGCCTGAGAAGAGTAAGATTTTGATATTGCAAATATACATAAAATTAATATAATACTTAATGACCAGCTCAACTGCTACTTTATTGCAGGCATACATTGTAAAACTTCAAGGGACAGAAGTTAGCATTGCTTCTCCACAGTCCAACAAAGTTGTTTTTTATTTAAGAGCTATTTTTTCCCATACTACTGTGAATTCTCCCATTTTATTTCAATTCTCTCTGTTCCATCCCAGTCAAAACCCTATTTTGCTTAATGTTTACTATGCTCAGGTTATTAAAAGATAAAGTCACAGATCCCCATGGCCAAAGTCCTACATCCTTGTCTTTTTAACTCGTAAAATGACAGAATATAATTTTTAGGTGAATGATTAAACAATACATACTCTTTTTCTTTTCATTGCCATTTTAATAAAAAGATTATAAAGTCCTATATTGCAAAATATATTTCATATTGTTTTTGCAATGGAAATTTAAAAAAATAGCTTTATGAAAGGATGTTAAAAGCAAATTCCAAATGGGGTAAAGACATGAAAATAAGAAATCCTAAAAAAGTCTGGCTAAATGTACTTATGTTCTGGGAATAGAAGAGTTTTCAAAAAGACCAAAATCCAGAAGCAATGAAGAAAAAAAACTGTTAAGTTTGACTACATAAAAATGTAAAATTTATGTATGGTAAAAAAATTAAAAATCACAAAATATGTCTAAAGATAAAAAAATGGAAAAAACATGTAATGATGACTAAAGGTTCTTTATTTACACAGTGCTCATACATATTAATAAGAAAAAGACAACCCAAATGAAAAATTAATAAAAGATAGGAATAGTAAGCTTAAAGGAGAAAAATTATTTAAAAAAGACCAAACACATGAAAATATGCTCAAGTCACATTCAAAATTAAGAGAATACATAGAAATAATAAGATACCTTTTTTTCTGAAGTGAGATACCAGAAATTTAAGTGTTTGAGATGCCCAGAACTTGGGTAGGGTGGGGGCAAAGAGAAATATTTATACTACTCACTGCACAACATAGTTGAAAAGCGCAAAAATTCTGAAATAGTCCCAAAAGTCAAACAATGGGAAACTGGTTAAATTGCGGCCTACTCAGAAGATGGAATATAACGGAACTTTAAGTGAGACAAGGTAGGTCTGTCTCTGTGTATACTGGCATAAAAAAGGTCTTTGAGTAAAAAAGCATATGCTTTTAAAAAAAGGATATAAGTAAAAAAAAAAGGGAGGTGTACTGAATAATGCATCAACGAGGGAGAAAAACTATTATTAGGATATACTGAAACTCCTTTCTGTCCTGCAAAGCTGTATTTGTTAGATAGATGAATAAAAGAGAGAGGAAGAGGGTGGAAGACTTACTATTCAGTTTTACCATTCTATCTACTGTTTATGCTTTTAGCTTTAAACATAAACATTACTCATTTACACAGTATTAAACAGGTAAACAGACTAACTCAGTCACTGTCTACTTGGTATCTATATTAAAAAAGTGCAATAACTTTTTTACACACAAATACACACACACATTAAACCAAAACATACAAACTAAAAAAAAATTACAACATAATCACATACATATACATACACATACCTGACTGACATTAAGCATGGTGGAAAGTCTTTCTCTATATTAAATATTACTAAACAATATACATTGTTACTATAGCCAAAGATCTCAAAAACGTCATTAATATTTATTAATTTTGTTTAAAGTTCTCATTTCACGTGGTTATATAAGATAATGGGTACAAAATATTAGTGAATATACAAAGAAATTCCAAGTGTCTCATTTGACTAATGTTCTGACCACTACATGATCTTTTTGTCCTTGGTACAACCTCACAGTTATGTTTCAGTGGCTGATCTTCTAATTAGGTCACCAAAATAAGCAGTGATTGTCTTTAACTTATTGTTAAGAAAGTTTTGTTCGATTTCCACTTGTCCTCCAGGTCCAGCTAAGGATGCCACCTAAAAAAGGGAACAAAATCACAGACACATAAGCTTGATTTCAAGAGAAATCTTTCCTTCATATGCTTTATAATTTTTTAATATTCTTTATGAATTAGAAAGACTAGTTCATATTTAAGTCCTTCAAGTAATGAGGCATCTCAAGTGTGACACAAGGTTTACTTATTAAAATAGGAATTTAAAGACTAATTCCCTTTCCTGAAAGCTTCTGTCCTGTTCTTAGCTTCTCTATCCACTTTCATTCTTTCAACAATATTTACTGAGTACCTGCTACATGATGTTACAAATATATCAGAGAGCAAGACAGGTGCGACCCCACTCTCATGGGGGTTCTAGTTTTCGGCAGCCATTTTTTCCATTTCTAATTGATCCCTTTTGCTGTTCTCTCAACTTGAACTACCCCATCCAGCTGCTGTTCTTTAGTGTTTTAAAATCCCCCTTCCTTTGTATTGAGGTAAAACATATTATTCTTTTTTAATTTTATATATTTTTACACCATTTTTCATTTTCATGTAATGTATGCATTTCATCTTGGTTATAATCCTCATACACTTCCCACTCCCCTTGTTTTGATTCTACTCCCTCCCCCCCCACCCCCCTGGAGTGTGTCTGTGGTTTATAGTGCTTGTTGATTTTGATTTTTACTTTATTATAATCAGTCTTTTTCCTGGTCCCTTATTTAGGTTTTCTAAATTCCTGCTGAGTGAGACCATCTGGTATTTTTTTCTTTCTGGCTTATTTTGCTGAGCATGATCCCTTCCAGCTTCATCTATGTTGCTGCAAATTGCATGAGTTTATCTTTTTGGATTGCTGAGTAATATTCTATTGTGTATATGTACCACATCTTCTTGATCCAGTCATCTATTTTTGGGCATTTGGGTTGTTTCCATAGCTTAGCTATTGTAAATAGTGCTGCTATAAACATAGAGGTGCAGGTGCCCTTTTGAATTGTTTCTGTGTCCTTTGGGTAAATACCTAGGAGTGGAATTGCTGGATCATATGGAAGCTCCATCTTTAGCAGAGTGAAGAATCGCCACACAACTCTCCAAACTGGTTGGGCCAGTTTGCACTCCCACCAGCAGTGCAGGAGAGTTCCTTTTTTTCCACATCCTCGCCAACATTTGTTGTTGCTAATTTTTTTTAGTATGTGCCATTCTCACTGGTGTAAGATGGTATCTCATTGTAGTTTTGATTTGCATTTCCCTGATGACAAGTGATGCTGAACATTTTTTCATATGCTTGTTGGCCATTTGCATTTCCTCTTTGGAGAAGTTTCTTTTGAGCTCTTCTGCCATTTTTTAACTGGGTTATTTACTTTGTTTTTGTTGAGTCTCATCAGCTCTTTGTAGATTTTTGTGATCAGTCCTTTATCATTAGTGTTGTGTGCAAAAATCTTCTCCCAATCAGTGGGGTGTCTCTTTGTTTTGGTTACTGTCTCTTTTGCTGTACAGAAACTCTTCAATTTGATGTGGTCCCAGCTGCTTATCTTTACCTTCACTATCACTGCTTTGGGTGATGTGTCTGTAAAAATGTCTTTGAGGTGCATGTCATGTAGTGTTTCGCCTATATTTCCTTCTATGTATATTTTATGGTTTCAGGTCTTATGTCTAGTTCTTTAATCCATTTTGAGTTGGTTTTTGTGCATGGTGTGAGGTAGTAGTCAAGCTTCATTCTTCTGCAAAAACATATTATTCTTTGAGATCTGCTAGACTATAATGCAACCAACTCTTTTTAGGAAGCTAAAAGCACCGTCACCTCCCCATCCAGAGTTGATATGAAAAGGATGCTAATCAAATGACCTGGTAACAGGGACAGACAGCTGCTAAAGACTTCTTTTTTGCTCCATGACAATAATGTTTGTCAAGTTCTTACATAGATAAAACTTGTGTTTGGGGCCAACATCTTTCATCTAGCTTCCCAGATTTATTAACTGGCAAACAGATTACCTTGTAACCCATGATCACATCAGCAGAGATCAGTTTATCAGAGTAGCAAGTAAGGAATAAGGGAAAGGGGAATGAAGTGAAAAACCCTGGGATTCAGAGAAACAGGAGACATTTTGTGATAAGGGAATACCCAGGTAGCAGGGACAGGTACAAACAATAGGAGACATGTATTTTCTGAAATTAATTCTGTAAATGTAATCAGCAAAACTATAATTGTGTATTTTGGTCTAGTTTGGTTTGGAGACCGAGAGCACCTCAGTGGTATAACACATACTATACCCGCACTGACAGAAGGTAAGGTTTATGTACATCGCCCATGAATATGTATTTTAAAGTACTGCAACTTCCTCTTAGGAAAAAAAAGTCACAGCTAGCTGTCTACCAAGTAGGTAAAAAGGTCAACATTAATCTCTGCCAGCAAAGAGACACAAAAGAACTGTTTTTTTTTTCAATGAATAGTAATAGATGACAATACAAATCAAACCCAGTTGTTAAAATAGTAACAAGCACATATACCCCACTATTTGTTAATAAGGAAATAATAATTAAAGTAGCACTAGAAATCAAAAAGAGCCATGTAGTCTCAGAGTGGCAATTATTAGGTATAATAGTTTTACTATTTTGATATGTTTATATCAGTCTGATTTTTCACAAAGAATGACAAAAATGAAGATTCTGAATTTAACGAATAAAAAGGCTTTGATATTGCGATTTATAAGGTATGTATTCTATCATTTTGATGGCCAAAGTATATTTCTCATACATATTTGTTCTTCATCTATAGCTCCTGGCTCACAGCCTCACACCCCTTGTAATTTTCTGAGTGTTGAAGTGACATTTTTGGAAGCACCTAAGGATGTGCTCTGGTTAGAACTTTGTTCTCACTCTCCTGACCCCCTGGTAGGGGAAAGGAGCTGAAGGTTGAATCAACAGCCAATGACTTAACGAGTTATTCAGCCATCAAAAAACTCCCTAAAGAACCCCCTCAGATAGCTTCTGGGTTAACACATGGAAATTGGGGTAAGTGGCATGGCTTTTAAAGTCTTGTAAGCTCCTCACCCCTTTTCCCATACCTCGCTCTATGCATCTCTTCCACTGACTGTCCCTGAACATCATTTACAATAAATTGTTGATCTAGTGAGTAAATTGGTTTCTTGAGTTCTGAGTCATTCTAGCAAATTAATTGAAACTGAGAAGGGTGTCTTGGGGACCTCTGGTCTAAAGTTGGTAGATGAAAACACAGGTGACAACCTGCACTTATGACTGGCTTCTGAAGTGGAGGGTGGTCTTGGGAGACCAAGTTTTAAACCTGTGGAATCAGAGACTATCTTGGGATAGGCAGTGTCAGAATAGAGTTCTCTGATACCCTGCTGGTGTCTGAGAATTGCTTGTTGGTGGAGGAAGTCTATGAGTTCTCATGTTGGATAAAGAGCTAACGGAATAAATACTCAAAGACATATTGACTAGTACATCTAGTTTATCACAATAAATTTTATATGAATAAGGTATTAAATGAAGTATTTCTCTTGTTCTTTTAAACAAGTGACTTATTTAAAGAAAGTGAGATTGGCAAGCTGACATTTTCTTTGGGGTTAAGGGAGAAGGGGAGTTGGGTAAAAAAGGGGAGGGCAAAGTAGAGAACAGATTGAGAATGGAGTCAGAGGTCAAACAATAGTGAAAACTCTGCTGGGATATTCCTAGCAGAAACAAGCAGTCAGAGGCAAATTTTATTACCAGTCCTACCACTAATTTCCTACATCAATTAAAAAAGTCTTTAAAATAGGCACTGGCTTTCAAGATCTGAAAAACAGAATATCATTATCTCCCTAAAATAGGGCATTCTGAAAAAAGATTTCTAAAATTTACTTGGAAAAAATCAAAAGCAATATAAAAATGGATGGTTATTACTTTTTTAAAAAATATAAGCCACACATAAAATTACACTGAAATACATCTCTGAAAAGGTGGGATAGTTTTTTACTCTTTTTGTCCACTTTCTAGGCCTTTTTTAAGAAGCAATGAAGATATGATTACATGGGAGTTTTTGAAGTCAATATGAAACAGTCAGATTATTTTATTCTACAACTATTTACTGAGCAGAGATTTTTTTTGTTTACCAACTCCACTGCCCAGAACTGACATTTTTGTTCTGGTCAGTGGAGCATAGCAGACAAAAACTTCTCTGGTTTCATGAATCTTACATTTTAGTTAAAGTCAGACGATAGACAAAACTGGAAGGTTAATATGTCAAAATATGAGAAAACTTGTAGTGTTTAGAAAGAAATTAAAAATTTTCAAGGGTTCTAACTAGAAATAGTTTTTTCACATTTTACAACTATATATATCTTAAATGTTAGAATTCTGGAGTTGAAGACTATAAAGACTATATACTTCAAGCCAATAAATAATACTTTGCTTCACGTAAACTCAATGCCATCAATTACCAGCTGTCTTTACTTTTCACTTTTGACAGAAGTTATTTGGCTCCTTACTCTTTCTTTAAGTTAAATGAGATTTCAATGTGTAAGTGTATAATTTTTATTTTTTTTTTGCAGATAGCATTTCAGATTCCTTGAAAGTTACCTCAGTCTCTCACAGATATTCTTTTATCTTTTTTCAAACATTTATTTGTTGATCAAAATACCTGTGATGTTTAAAAGCTCATCTACAAAGTGTTTTAGGAGGTGGCTACCAATATCCAGTTCACTAATCTTTGTACTTTACCTGTTCTTAGAACAGGACAGTGGTAATGTAAAGATTGTCCTTAAATAAAACACAATAGACGCAAGAATCAGTAAGGCCCTGGCTGTTAGCACTATATGTGTGTAACACTGTATGTGGTATCCTCACTGAAAATTTATTCAGCGGAATAAAAGAAATATAAGCTTATATTTAAAAGCCTCTGTGCCTTCTCAGTTTGACTCACAAAGCCATTTTACTAGACTACTTGAGAAAAATATATGCAATACCAGAGCCAATAATATGATACTGCTCCAACTGTGCAGGGGCAAACTTTCCAAAAGAAAAGCTGGCAAATAAGATTAAGTTAATCAA